TAAGAACCTTTGTTCTACCTGTTACCAAGCCAGTTGCAGCCTATAATACATAGTTTTATGACCACAATGCTGCTCTTTGTACTAAGTTATCTTTTCATGGCATGTGAAAGGCGGAGCTGTATTTTGTGCTAATGTGCAAAGTACCAACAGTAACATTTCTTACTGGAACTATCCGTGATTAGCCTGCACTGAGAAGCTTGTCAAACTTTGTGTCTCCTGTTTTAAAAATGACTTCCTTTACAGATGTCTTACGAAAAAATCTGAAGGAGATCCATGGCTACCCCATGGTGTATGCTTTTGCTGACAACTGGGAGAAGATCGAGGCATTTCAAAGCAGGCCAGATGACATTGTGATTTCCACCTACCCTAAATCGGGTGAGTCTGAGGGCCTGATTAACACAGGTCTGATCTCAACTTTTGTTTTTTGGATATCTTAAGCAAAGTTATTATAAGTAGGTTATTATAAGTAGTGCAGTCACATACTTCTGGTATGTCAAAATAGGCATCTAAGGTACAGAAACTACAGAGATAAAAATTTAATGGTATATATTAAGATGGCCTGCTTCCAAAGGTAAATTTCTCAAAAGAATTGGCTGCTAATTATAAAAATGTTACTTTTTGCCCAGGTACCACTTGGGTTAGTGAAATTGCAGATCTGATTCTGAATGATGGAGATATTGAAAAATGTAAGAGAGATGTTATTACTGCTAAAGTTCCAATGCTGGAATTTAATTTTCCTGGAATGCCAGTATCAGGTAACTATATAATCTTGTAAGCAAATTTTCATGATATTATTTACTTATCACTTATATTATTATATTCTGACACTGCAAAATACAATACTACTGCAAGCAGGTACAGGGGCGGGGGGTCCGAGACTGGGTGTGGTGGCACGCGCCTGTATTCTCAGCTCTTGAGAGGCTATAAACAAGTGTATCACTATGAGTCCAATCTAGTAGTGTGACCTTGAACACTCTATAGACCCTTCTTTCCCCAAAGAAAACAATACTAGAGTAGATTTGCTAATGTTAAGTGTTATTTTTAAGGTAATATAATAACTAAGAGCATAGCCTGTGGCATACCTAGGTATCAAATATGGATCAGTTTTGCTGTAGAAAACTAAAAATGTTGTTCATACCATGCATAATTTTCCTTATGTATTATTGGCTCTAATTTTATACAATTTGACAAATTGGAATAAGAAAATACTAACTTTGGACAATGTTGAAGTTAAATAAGCATCTTTCTCTCTCTCTCTCTCTCTCTCTCTCTCTCTCTCTCTCTCTCTCTCTCTCTCTCTCTCT